AAACAAAATAGAACAGCCAACCAACCAGCCAAAATCACCTCAAACCAAACTTCCTGGCCACTGCCACTATTTGGTCATCTTAATGTGGCTGGACATCTAACAATGCTTTTCTTGGGCATCTAGGGAAATGGGCAGTGACGTCAATGTACTGTTTAATTCATGAAAGTTACTAATAAAACCATCAGTTTCCACCTCAAATATAGGATGAGATGCTCACCCTTGTGTGTGTTACTGAGATCTGGCTGGCTGAAACAAATAGTGATTTGGCATAGCTCTGTCCAACAGCATAGTCACTTCAAATTAATTTGCTGAAGGGCCAGGGAAGGGGAATGGCTTTACTATTTGAATTAGACCTTGGGATTAGGGGTGTTTCACTCTGAAGGTGGATTCATTGAGGTGTTTGAGAGTACTTTGAGAGTTCCAGGACAAATTTAATTTAAGAATTACATACTATCCCCTTTTGACCCTCAGGATTTCAGTCAAATCTAATTGAGTTGTTTACAGGCCTGAGGAAGCTGCAAATTATTAATCATTATTTAAAATGCATTTTGTGGTAGCATCTAAACACCTCAGTCAAGCCATGTCCCCATTGTGGTAAACATATCAGAAATGACAGTCTCTTTCTCAAAGACCATTACTGTGCTCAGTAATTTCACTATCTGTGCTGCTGCTAACTCTTATATGTTGCTCTTAAACCACATATGGTAGCTTCCATAACAATGAAGATCCTCTCCCAGGTGGTTTCTGACTCAGATTTGGTTGATGGCTAATACTCATGGTGGGACTGGAAATACTGAATACAGGGGGTAACAGTGATGACATCTTTATCATGGGCAGATCATTACAACTGGGCTGAGGTTAGGGTCTCCGTTTGCTCCAACTTGAGGTGCTGAACCTGTTTAATGGTTCTCTTTTAGGGTCAGATTTTGATAGCCTTACACCTGGACAAGTCCTACTGAAGTCAATTGGACTTGCATAGTTAGATATTTTTCATTTTGTCTAATGGTATCACAAACTGTTCCTCAGAGACTGATAGACCATCAGGGCCGGCTCCAGGCACCAATGCAGCAAGCAGGTGCTTGGGGCGGCCAACAGCAAGGGGCGGCACGTCCAACTCTTCCGCAGCAATTCGGCGGCAGGTCCCTCATTCCCTCTCGGAGCGAAGGACTAGCTGCTGAAGAACGAAGTGGCGGTAGAGCTGCCGCCGAATTGCCGCCGATCGCAATCGTGGCTTTTTTCCCCCCCCTTCCTGCTTGGGGCGGCAAAAACGCTAGAGACGGCCCTGTAGACCGTATTAGGTTCCAGAACATACAAAGGGATAATGTTGTCTAGCCTTGACCAGTGTAAAACTTAACCTGGATGATTTGTTTCCGGAGTAACATACTCTTATTTGGTTATTTATTTAAAAAAACATTCCTAAAAAGATATACATTATTGCTATTGACGACAAATTGTTTACACTTCTTCTAAATAGCTGTACATTTTTGCTACCAAAGAATGGCTACTGAGCTTTCCTCACAGCAATGGTATTTTGACTGTATACGTTTTAGACAGAGATATTTTCAGCCAATAAAATAAAATAAAATACATGCTAAGTGTGAAATTATACTTGGATCTTTTGGTAAGATGTTAAAAAGACATTAATTATCCCCTTTTTATTCACGTGGGGGCAAGCAGCAAACTAAATACAAGTATCTCATTTATGGCAAGATTCATAAAAAACATTCTACTCTGTTCTTTTAATCATGCTTGAATCAATTTTATAATTAACTAAATATCCCACCACACCGATGTGGAACGACCAGTTATTACTTCTGCAGCCAGAAAAGCATTAAAATATTCTAGGAGATACATATTCAAAAGAAAATCCTCACGTTTACAAGACAGGTTAATCAATTGTCACTACTGAAGGAAATGTGGATCGAGCAAGACAGCCTCTGGGAAATGCAGGAAGGGAAGGGGGCGTGGAGGGAGGAAAGGTGAAACTAGAGGCACTACTGCCTAGCCATTGGTCAGATTCAGATCCGCATCACCATTGGTTGAACAGACCATGTTCATTTTTTAGCCAATCACAAATTACATTAGCAGTCATACGGACAGGATAAAAGGACAGAAATCGGGGCGCTATTACGCGGCCTCGGTAGCGTTATAACATTGCGTGCGTGGTAGTTGTTGCTAGAGAGCGAATTACAATGTCAGGCCGAGGAAAGCAGGGCGGTAAGGTGCGGGCTAAGGCGAAGTCTCGCTCCTCGCGGGCTGGGCTGCAGTTCCCGGTGGGCCGTGTGCACCGCCTGCTCCGCAAAGGCAATTACGCTGAGCGGGTGGGGGCTGGAGCCCCGGTCTATATGGCCGCGGTGCTGGAATATCTGACCGCTGAGATTCTGGAGCTGGCTGGCAACGCTGCTCGGGATAACAAGAAAACCAGGATCATCCCCCGTCACCTGCAGCTCGCCATCCGTAACGACGAGGAGCTCAACAAACTGCTTGGGAAAGTCACGATCGCTCAAGGGGGTGTTTTGCCCAATATCCAGGCTGTGCTGTTGCCCAAGAAAACCGAAAGTCATAAAGCCAAAAGCAAATGAAACTGACCAAGAAGAAAGGTGAACACTTCAACTTCAGCACTAACCAAAGGCTCTTTTCAGAGCCACCTACTGTTTCATGAAAAGAGTTGCATGTCATCAAACAGAAGGAGCAGCCCTGTTTGTTAAATAGAAAACTCCCCATTTAGTATGGCTCGTCAAAAAACTTAAGCATTTATTACTGATTCTCTCCTTCCCCCCCATTACTTTTCATGAGTAATGAAAGCCCCTTTGGGGGAGGGGAAACCAGGCGTCAAGCCTTTGTTTTTCCAGGTTCCATAAATATCGATGGGGCAAAACAGATTATAAACTGTGTGTGTGTGTGTGTGTGTGTGTGTGTGTGTGTGTGTGTGATATATATATATATATATATATCATAGTAAACCAACGAGAAAAATAAATACCAATTCAATAGAAACAAGTGATTATGGTGAATTCTATGTTGAATCCATCCTGTTTGACTATATAATTTTTTTTAATGTTGCTGTGACAAATAACAATTTTACCCAAGTTATCTCATCTGCCTTGGTTTTTTTTATGCTCATATTTAAAGAACTGTCTCCCAAATATTGATTGGTCCATTTGAACCCAAAATAATAATGAAACTCTAATTCCTTTAAAAGGGGGTCTCAAATTCCTCAGGTACATAGAACAGTTTTTAACACGTTTAATTTCGAATATATATAACACATACTGGCTAACCCCATTCCCTCTGTAGTTTGGATACATTAAGGTTTGTGGGAGATTGAGGATATTGCCAGTTACTGATTGGTTAATTTGATATAACAAAAGATTTCGTCCCCATTTATGATTAGATGTTGCATATGAAACTGGTCTGTCGGTTCAAAAATGTCATAACTGGAAGGAAAAAGTAACAGGAAAAATACCTTTTTAAATGGCTTTTCTTGATTTAAAATCTAACCTAATATAGTACCATTAGGAATCACTTGTAACAACACAAGGTAAAACCTGTGATTTATTAAAGGGATGTGCCCTTGCCAATTATGGGAGAGCTCTGCATTTGATTTAATAATAAGGGAATGTTTTCTTCTGTTTCTTTCCCTGTGTGTGTTAGCGTTATTGTATAATTTTGTTCTCAAAATTTGCATCAAGCCTTTCTATCTTGTAAGAGAGATGTGTGATTGTTATTTCTATTTTAAATTGTTCCTCATTCATATAAATCCATCACTAACTGAACAATAATGTGTAATATGCAATGTTCTAGTCCTAAAGCAGTGGTTCTTCACACAGCCTCTGAGTGCGATCCCCCCTTATACATTAAAAGCACTTAATATATTTAACACCATTATAAATGCTGGGGCAAAGCAGGGTTTGGGGTGGAGGCTGACAGCTCACGACCCCCCATGTAATAACCTCGTGACCCCCTGAGGGGTCCCGACCCCCAGTTTGAGAACCCCTATGACCTAGAGCAAAGATAAATGTCAGTGACAATTTGCCCAAGTTTGTAATGTACAAGAATGAAAAGACTTTAGCAATAGCCATGCCCTTTAGACAATGGATTAGGATTTCAAAAGTTGGTTAGTGGATCAGTTCAGAAACGCAGTGTTGCGTTAATGAATGTTAATATTGTCTTCGTCGTCTAATAAAACCTCGCCAATAATTCTTCCACCTGAAGTTACTATGACCTTGTCTATTAGGATAATGAATGTTCCTGTAACACAGGAATAAGAGAGAACTAGCAGCTCTGTATTGTACACAGGGCAGCCGCACACTACGAACTGCTTTGCTTTAACAAGTCATCCACTTTTGGGGCACAAACAGTCCCTCACGGGACTTCACTCTGCTCCTCGCATTGTTCCATGGTTTGCTAATTTAACATTTCATGTTTTAAGGAGGGTAAAAGATTTTGGTCAAAGAAGCTAATTTCTAATCCATATTCAACGCTCAGGGACGAGTTTGTGTTACTTCCTTCTCTTTGAAATCAATTTACTATGAAAACATTGATTCAAATTTCTGGCTTTGAGCCTTGATTGGGAGAAGACCCTTTAAAGAATAACGTTTCATTACTTTGGAAATTTCATTGTACACGGTGCAGTTTTTATTTAGAAGGAAAAACAAAAGTTTCTCTCTCCAGAGGTCTCTCCAGGTCCAGGACTCGCGGTTTATTGACTCTTTTAAAACTCACCTTTTGTTTCTCCAACGGGAAACTCTACTGACTGAAAATACCCTCTTTCCCCTTCACCAGGCTATAAAGTGGGGGTGATTCGGTGGCGGATATACTGCAAAAAACACACTTTTTTGACTTCCAAGAAACACAAACTGAACGGGAAGAAGAGTACTTTCTGGCTTGCAGCTGGGCGGGCTCTTTAACGCACCAATCACAGAGTAGCTGTTCTCTATAAATACCAGGCATCTGACCTACTCTAGCCCAATTGTTTTCTTCTGATTCGTAGAAAACGTCTGCTAGAATGTCGGAAACTGCGCCTGTTGCCACTCCTGCTGTGTCCGCTCCTGGGGCAAAAACCTCCGCTAAAAAGCCGAAGAAGGCGGCAGGAGGCTCAAAAGCCCGCAAGGCTTCGGGTCCCAGCGTAACCGAGCTGATCACCAAGGCGGTGTCCGCTTCCAAGGAGCGCAAAGGGCTCTCCTTGGCCGCTCTTAAGAAGGCTCTGGCCGCCGGAGGGTACGATGTGGAGAAGAACAACAGCCGCATCAAGTTAGGACTGAAGAGCCTGGTGAGCAAGGGCACCTTGGTACAGACCAAAGGTACTGGTGCTTCTGGTTCCTTCAAACTCAACAAGAAGCCTGGCGAGATCAAGGAAAAGGTACCTAAGAAAAAGCCAGCGGCAAAGCCTAAGAAACCAGTTGCTAAGAAACCCGCCAGCGCCGCCAAGAAACCCAAAAAGGCTGCGGCCGTGAAAAAGAGCCCGAAAAAAGCCAAGAAACCAGCGGCTTCCGCGGCTAAGAAAGCGGCCAAGAGCCCGAAAAAGGCCAAGCCCGCCAAGCCCAAAAAGGCAGCTAAGAGCCCGGCTAAGGCCAAGGCGGTGAAGCCCAAGGCTGCCAAGCCCAAGCCAACCAAACCTAAAGCAGGTAAGGCTAAGAAGGCAGCGCCCAAGAAGAAGTAAAGCGGCTAGAAAAGGAAAATAGAGTCTAACTCGTGCAAACAAACCCAACGGCTCTTTTAAGAGCCACCCACCTTTTCCAAAAGGAGCTGAAACATTCGTGCCTTCACCGTAACAGCAGTAACAAATCTTTCCCCCTTTGTGACGAAACGTTGAAAGATTACAAAGTAACTTTTTAAAAGTTACTTTGTCATTTTTGGGGAAGCTAAGAGGAAATATTTTGTGGATACTAAGTATCGGGGTAGCCGTGTTAAGTCTGTATCTACAAAAACAAGGTGGCTGGTGGCACCTTAAAGACTAACAGATTTATTTGGGCATAAGCTTTCGTGGGTAAAAACCTCACTTTTTCAGATACATAGGAAGAAGTGGGGTTTTTACCCACGAAAGCTTATGCCCAAATAAATCTGTTAATCTTTAAGGTGCCACCAGACTCCTTGTTTTTGTGGATACTGTTTCTAATAGTTCCTCTTACTCCTCTTTGGAATACTTTCCCCCCCACCCCCGGTACGCTTTACGTGGTGCTCAGGTCATTCTTTGCTCTGTCTACATACAGAGGGGGACGGTAGGAGAGCTCTAGTGTGGGGACAAAGAGTAAATGTTTGGCTTAGAAACAATTACCTCACTGGCTGCGGGAAGCAGAACTAAATTGGTGGAGGGTTTGAAAAGCCCGCGCTGTGCAAGGATTGGTCCGTCTCCCGCCCTGCTTTTAAAGCCGGGCATCCTGCGCTGACATACACGTTTAAAATCTGACCAAGTATCTTGATGGGCGGAGGGTGCATGTGAGTCTTTCGTAGTTTTGTTTTCACTGTTGACTAATATACAGCGTGTTTAGCCTTTATCTTTTGTTATTCGCCCTCGCTACCAATCACCCCCCTTGTGCGTTAGCTATACCTTCTCCCGCTCAATGCCTGTGCCCGCCTAGTTAATATTAGAAGATCAAACCCGATAATGATGTAGTGAACCATCCTATTTATTAATTTAAATTATTTATTAAGAGGACACGTCGGGTGAAGAACCTTAGAATACCAAGGTTTTCAACACAGAAATTACGCATCACTGCACAACTGACTCAATCGAAGGTCACATCCACCACACAGACGATGAAATCCCTAGTACGTGCAATGCAGGCGTCCTTTCGGGAACAATACACATTTTACTGCACGGCATATGATTTTCACCAACCAGTTTTCACTGTGATACTCTAGACACGTTTCCTCAGTCGGGATTTACAACTGTTCAGCGTGCCTTGCAAGGATATTCTTTTCAGTAGGAGTGAGAACAGCTCCCCCCCCCCCCCCCGATTTTCCTAATGCTCAAAGATGCCGAAAACAGTCTCTATGCATTAGCTATAACTTTCAGAAAGTTATGAAACTGAGGACAATAGAATGTTTTGTTGGGCGTACATAGTAAATCTATACTAGGAGCTCTAATCAAAGCTATAGAGATTAAACTATCCTGAAATGTTTTTTTTTTAAACCTGCTCACAAGGCTCTGGGGAGTTCCTCAAATCAGGAACTGGAGGAAAATGAAATGTAATAAGTCAAGTCAGTTTAGACTTCAAATACCTTATTCTTATCCTTACTTACCTGCTTTACAATATTTCCACTATGATACACACTAGAGGACTAAGATCAAACACAAACCTGTAGCGCTAGGTTGACTTCGTGCTCCTTGGCGAGGGGTGGGGGTGACTTTTAGAAGGGAAGTTGGAGTACTCTTTAAAGCAATACACATTTAAACCATCCTATTTTAACCACCAAAGAAAATTAATAACTGAAGTAGAGCAAATAAAGCTTTAGTTTGTAGTAATGCTCTATTTAGGGTTTGTCTGAAAAGGAAATCCTACTTTTTCTATACACTAGCTATTCTGTGTAAATAGAAATAAAATAGTAATACAGCTCCTTCTTTGAGAAGGTGGGTGGCTCTTAAAAGAGCCTTTGGGTTATAGCTGAAAAAAAATCTGAAAGTTTACTTGGAACTAGTGTACTTTGTGACAGCCTTGGTGCCCTCAGACACCGCATGTTTGGCCAGCTCCCCCGGCAAAAGCAGGCGCACAGCGGTCTGGATCTCCCGGGAAGTGATGGTCGAGCGCTTGTTGTAATGCGCCAAACGAGACGCTTCCCCAGCGATACGTTCGAAGATGTCGTTTACAAAGGAGTTCATGATCCCCATAGCCTTAGAGGAGATACCGGTGTCAGGATGAACTTGCTTCAATACCTTGTACACGTAGATAGAGTAACTCTCCTTCCTAGTCTTTCTCCTTTTCTTATCCCCTTTCTTCTGAGTCTTGGTCACAGCTTTCTTAGAACCCTTTTTAGGGGCAGGGGCAGATTTTGCCGGCTCTGGCATGGTAGCAGTTTACGTTCGCAGTATAACTCAAGAACAATAGCATACTGATAGCACAGCTACCCTAGTATTTATAGGGAGCGTATGCAAATGAGTAGCTTTTGCTGTCTGACTTCCTATTTGATATAAGAAACAAATGGTGTCAGCACCGACACATTGGTCAGCTTCAGATACTATGTCACCATTGGTTGTTGGTTTTTTTCCAGCCAATCAAAAAGCAATTTACCAACCAATAGTTGGAAGCAGTACTTGCAAATGTTTCACTGTAGGTCAATCTCAAATAGCTTTTAAAACTGTAAAGCTATAGCCAAAGTCGAATTCAGTAATGGCTTATAGCTGTTTATATTATGGGGGGACACAAATCCCTGTAGACATTACTCTCAGTCCCCTAGGATCATTGGAATCTACTCCTAAATTGTAATTAAACTAAAAAAAAAAATCAGGATCTTTATCTATTAAAGGTACAAATTATACAAGTGCACTCTAAATAGTGCATTTGTGAAAAGTCATTATAAAGTTCCATATTTGTTTATCAATATTCTTGAGGTTAAATTAATGCAGTCTACAGATTATTTTTTAAAATTGTGTTTCCATCTCTCCTCCCCCACTCTATCCTTAATACTTGCTAGTGGGATCCAAAATTCACCTTGATTCTTTCCTTGTTTGCCATCACTAGTAATTATATGTTCTTACAGGCCAAATCTGTGGCTTCAGTTGTAGCTGCACATCCCCCTTGTAGGCTCATGAAATCACACAATTATAACTGTGATCAGAATTTGGAGATGACGTAGCACAAGAGCAATTAAGGAAATAATTTGGACTGTGCAGTATTCATTATTGTTGATGATCATTGAGAAGAAAAAACAAAACTATAAAAACAGTTTTTCAGAATGAATGATGAATTTAAAGTAGTGGCAGTTGGCTTAAAAAAATTGTAAACTGAACAAATTTGATGTGGAAATATTTGAGATGCAATAAATATGGAAATCCTTTATAAGAACAATAGGTGAAGGTTAAAATTACAAAATGATACTATAATGAGGACCACAGGGGTCTGCCTGTGTGCAACTCATTGCAGGACCAACAAGCCAGAGAATATCTGGCTCTATTGAAGTCAATGAGTTTTTGGCTTTGACTTCAATGGGGCCAGAATTTCACACTTCATCCCGCAAAGACAAAATGCTTAATGATATGCTTTCCTATTGACTTCTTTAAAAAGCAACAGAGGGTCCTGTGGCACCTTTAAGACTAACAGAAGTATTGGGAGCATAAGCTTTCATGGGTAAGAACCTCACTTCTTCAGATGTAAGTCTTGCATCTGAAGAAGTGAGGTTCTTACCCACGAAAGTTTATGCTCCCAATACTTCTGTTAGTCTTAAAGGTGCCACAGGACCCTCTGTTGCTTTTTACAGATTCAGACTAACACGGCTACCCCTCTGATACTATTGACTTCTTGTGATTGAAATTAAACATATCCCATGTGCTTTCAGGATACTGGCTTAGTTAGCTCACACTTGGTATTTTCTTTTGTTTTACATGAACTGTGTGTGTCACATAAAACAAAGTTAATTTCAGGACCTCTAGATATTACTAATCAAAATGTAAATGTATTTATTGACATCTAACCAGGGTAGCTGTGATAATAAAAATAACGTGTAAATTCAACATTGAATAATAATATTATTATGAATAAGAAAATGTAATGATTTAATACAATAATCAAAGTATCTTCAAAGAGGACATCTATATTTTTATTATAGAATTGTGGGGAGTTGATTTTATACAAATATATATTCTTTAATGAGTCATTCTAAACCATAGTTGGGTGTTGTTATCCTACATTTTCAAATCCAAAGGTTAGAGCCATTCCAATTTTCAGTCAAGTGCTGTAGCAATAGGTTAGTCTATTTTATCGACTTTCTCTACATTATGAATTATGCTTAAATTGCTTAATAAAACCCACTGCTGTTTGGTTCATTTGTTTACATTTAGCAAACAGAAACTGCAGTGATCTAACATTATTATTGGACTATGCAAATTTTCCTTTCTTCCACCCAAGTTTTCTAGAAAACTGTTTTTTCCTTAACCACAGTAAATGCTCATTGCCTAGAGATCATTAGTAATTCATGTTCATGATGCAGTCATTTAAAGGAAGCGGGGGTTTGTCAAAATCACTCACCTATAGCCTAACTCATTTCCAGCTGAACTCAATAGAAAGGGATTTTTATTACCAGTTATTGCAGTTAGGCCACATCTCAGTGCTTGTGAGGAAAATCCCACCCTAAAATCCTTAAGTGATGTTATCAAACCAATATGGAGTGAAAAATCTATTTACAAACTGAGTTTACTGTTTCCATCACCTTTCTTTTTTTAAATTTATATAGTTTACAACGTCTATTAGGATTTTCTAGAACTTCATCCTGAAAACACTTGTGTTTAGTTTTCATATAAATAATACCATTTACTTCATAAAGCTTTTTGTTTAGTGCCTTGTTTTGAAAGAGAATTTAAAGATATATCATAAATGTGTCTGAAGAAGGCATTATGTGGTGATACCACCCAAAATTGTAAGAAATGCTGAGAAACATAACTTCTGCCTCTTAAATTAAGGGCTGAGAAAGCTTCTGTGAAAGTTTTCTGCTGATGCAAGGAAAACAGGGACAACAAGATTAAAAATTAGAAAATGCACAAAGAAAATGTGATGCTAACAAATTATACGACAAATATATTTTATTTTAAAAAACAAATTTTTAGGACACCTATCTCCACCTCTGGTTATATTTACTTCTATGTTTATACTGTAAACTCTTAGGAATTATATAAATAATCCATCACTATTTTGATGATCTGTAAATATTAAATACATTTTTAAATGAAATCACTATTTTCAAAGGTGAAAGACAAGTGGGATTTAACAAACAAAATTAACAAGAAAACCAAGCAAGCAAGCAAACAAACTTCCCTGGGCTCTTTATATAATGAATACTATATAATAATAAGGCAATAAATCCCCTCCCCAACTCTTTCTATTCCACATTTTTTTAAATTACTCTTCTAGGTCACATTGTTGCAACTGGAAAAGAACAAATGGGGGGCGGGGAATCAACAACAACAAAAAAGCAGAGATAAAGAAAAGTAAAAGTGCTGTATATTTCATGACTGATTTCAAGAAAATCATTATCACCTGTGATTTGTGGTGATCAGCAGCCAAATGCTACTCTGGGAGTGGGCCCAGTTTGCCATCCCTCTCACCTGTGGGGTGGGTTTTACCTTGTGTGACTCTGCCTTGCTGTGCCAATCTAGTTGGTTCATGCCCTGGGCCCATCACTGCTCCAGCAGGGCAGTGTGGTGGCTGGACTGATCACCGTGATCTGGAGCTCGGTCTGACACTCCTTAGCTTGGTTCTTGCTTCTGGTACAGAGTCCCCTTCTATTCCCCTATGGTTGTGATCTCTCCCTCATCTCCTCTGGGACACTAGCCATTCTTGCAGCCTGACTATGCGCAACATAGCAACTGACATTTTTGGAAGTGAAAATGGAAACCTTCATTCACTGGCAATAGGTGGTATGTCTGGTGTTGATGCTTCTGGTGACTTTATCCCTCTGAGATGTGGTCTGATACAATGAGAAATCTATTGAGGAGTGTCCCCCGTCCAAATATAATATTCACTCAGGGTCCTTTCCTACAGCAGTTTAATGGGTTGAAGCCCTGCTTCAGCCTTATAAACTTTAGATAGGGGTTTGCACATTTATAGCTATATTAAAGCAAACCCCTAACTGGAGCACAGGGGGAGGAGTCTTTGTCCATGAGAATGCATTTTACATTCTAATGTACAATACAAGCTAGGGGAAGACAATAATCTGCTATTAGAAGGCAAATGACTATTCCCACACCTGTCTGAACCCCACGCTTCCCAAGGGAAGCCAAGACAATGCGGGTATGAATAGATCATCTAGTGAAAGGTGCTTGAAAAACCCTGTGAAAACTGTACACTAAACAGACACTGGTGTGAGATGCGGGAAGGGGTTTGCATGTGAGGCGGTGCAGAACTCTGGTTTTTAGTTTACATTGTCTGATGTAATGTCTCAAGAGAGACTTCTCCTTGCTTACAGAGCTAAAGCGACTTTGCTCTCCAGTAAGGAGCCACCTCTATATTAGCATCTCTGTCATGCTGGAAATATGGTTGTGACAGTGTAACCCATAAGGCTTTATGGGGAGGGGGTGCTTATAAATGTATGTATGACATAACTGGAATATGTTTGGTGCTGCCTGTGCCAGGTAACATATCTCCGTAAAGGTTATGGTCTACTATATCTATTCATCCTATTTGTACATATATATATCATTTTCTACTTGAGGTTAAGAATATGGTCTGTATGCTTGCTTGGTTTCTAAGTAAGCTTTGGGAGGCATTTGGTCAGCTTCTTTAGGAAGGAATTCGCCAGGTTAAGTACCTGATCAGGAAACACTTGGGGAACAATGCATCTTGGAATGCTCCAATCCACATAAGAAGTCTTCCTGGAGACATGCAAGATACCATGTGGACAATGGCTTCAGCCTGTAAAGACTGAGTCATGCAGGGACATGTGACTTGCCCAGGTGACTCCAGAACTCCATCTTGGAGCTGGACTTTGCATAGGAGGGAGGAGGGGGGTCTCCTCCCACAAGAGAGAGTCTATTTAACCCTGGGGGAGACCCCTCCATTTTGTCTTCAGCTGGCTAAAGAAGGAGCCTCTCCACCCCCCCAGGATACTTGAAGGAAACTGAAACAAAAGACAGTAACTACAGGGGTTGTGAAAGATTGCTGGACCCAGGCTAAAGGGAGATTAGCCTGTAAAAGGGAGCATTCTGGAACTGGTGAGGAACTTATCTGTATTTAGTTTGATTAGACATAGATTTGCGTATTTTATTTTATTTTGCTTGTGACTTACTTTGTTCTGTCTGTTACTACTTGGAACCACTTAAATCCTACTATTTGTATTTAATAAAATCACTTTTTATTTAGTAATTTACTCAGAGTATGTATTAATACCTGGGGGAGCAAACAACTGTGCATATCTCTCTATCTGTGTTATAGAGGGCAAACAACTTATGAGTTTGCCCTGCATAAGCTTTATGCAGGGTAAAACGGATTTATCTGGGTTTAGACCCCATTGGGAGTTGGGCATCTGAGTGCTAAAGACAAACACACTCCTGTGAGCTGTTTTTGGGTAAACTTGCAGCTTTGGGACAAGTGATTCAGACCCTTGGTCTGTGTTGGAGCCAGACAGGAGTGTCTGACTCAGCAAGACAGGGTGCTGGAGTCCTGAGCTGGCAGGGAAAACAGGAGCAGGGGTAGTCTTTGCACATTAGGTGGCAGCTCCCAAGGGGGTTTCTGTGATCCAACCCGTCACAATGGTTAAACATGGTAGCTCCTGATGTCCTCTGTCTCTCTGTGCTCATGAGACACTAAGCCATGTCTCCAACGCATGATAAGGCGCAGCCTTCAGCTTTGCAGGCCTGTAGTCTTGTCTGTAAATGGGAGAATCTAAAGTAGAATCCCCTGAGCCAGATGGCCTAACTGGGTCCTCAAGACAAGGCATTAGTGAAGGTGGGAGTTTAACCCCTTCTCCCCCCTTCCCTGCCAGTGTCTGGATTATTAGATTATGCTTTAAAAGGTTTTTAAATGTGTCCATCTCTGTCCTTGCATACCAGTCCTGTTCAAGCACATTGGTCAGTGCCAATGCACAATTCTTCCAGGGAGATGGGTGTTTCATGTACCCACAGACTGGTTCCACTGTGAGAGCACCAGTCACTCACTGCATGAACTGAACACTCTTTACAGTGGGGAAAATAGCTCAATTTTGGAATTTCTTCCATATCACTCCTGGTGTGCCCTCAAATGGGCATCGGGAGTGCAGACCTTGTGCTGAGCTGAGCAGAACCACCCTGGGAAGGAATCCTACTTGCCCTAAACGGTCCATATTTGTGACGTGCACATTGTATTCTGAACAGAGGCTTGTCTGACGTCCCTGACAGGAACTGGAATATACTTAACTCCTCTTGGTGGAAAGATTTAAGTGCAGGACACCAGGGTTTAGGTTATCTCATTTTTTACCCTGTGGAAGTGAGAGATTTTCTTCCTAGCATGGGACACAGCAGCCTTTACAGGGAGGGGAAGGAATTAGGCATTATCCTATAGGAACCACCCTGCCAATACACTTGATGTGGTGCTAGCTGGGGTTTGAGGTCCCTTCTCATCTCAACACCTGAAAGAGAGAGGGATGCTAGTGGGTGAGTGGAGGTGCACAGAGAGCTTTCTAGTGTGATTGGCTCCCTGTGCAGTGGGGGGCCCAAAAACTGGCAAAGGATCAGTGGAGTGGGAGTGACTGTGGTTATCTGTTTCCCCATAGGAACCTTGAATGTATTTTGAATAATAAAGGTGCTGCCTGGTTAAAACTCATACACATGTCCTTGTTTTCTTCCCCGTGGGAAGCACACCAAATGAATGAATTGGGGAGGGGGGAACCAAAACCAACTAACAAACAAAACCACCACCTCCCCAAGATGGAAACAAAGGAAAAAGAAAAGTAAAACAGTGCTGTATTTCATGACTGACTGTGAGAAAACCTTTATCACTTGTGATTTGCAGAGATCAGCAAACCAAAGACAACCTGTTACTATGTAGTTCTTTAATTACCGTGTGTACCTGGGCAAATATACATAGATTGCATAATTTTCGGTAGATTTGGGTATTTTTCCCTGTACGTTGGTCCAAGTAAGTAAAACCCAAGCTCCTACAAAATCACACACATACACTCTTTGTGCCCACTTTATAAGTTAAAAGAAATGCTACCGATCTTTCCCACACACTCCCGCAACTCGTTTTGTGAAACAGATTAATGGATTTCATAGACTCATAGAACAGGAAGGTACCTCGAGCGGTCATCTACTCCAGTCCCCTGCACTCAGGAGAGGAGTCGGGTTTTCTGAGTGCCCTTTCTGTAAACATTCAAATCAGTAGTCACACCGTGGCAGCGACATCATTCACATTAGGTGAGGAGACAGAATAAAGAACGAACATACGTGCCCAGCCTCGTCACTTTTGATTAGATCTGAATGTAGCAGATTTTAAACCCTCCTCTGTTCAAGCTTTGGAAAATGGCGACGAATGTCGGGGAGGCGGAGAGGGAGGCATCTGTCAGGGAACCCGATTGGTCATATTTTGCCGCAGATTCCTACTTGAAATTGGGGGGGGGGGGGGGGGGGGGGGGGGG